GCCCTGCGCTGTGTGTAGGGGTGCCCGGCTGGCCAGGGAAGGGGGAGGAAAACCCTCGTACTCGTCAATCAGACAGAAATAATCTTGACCAGTATTTCCTGACGTGTCTTGCAATTATGGACTCTGTGTGTCAGCTAGGGTATGTCCAGCGGGAAGGGTGTGCGGAGCCATCCCGCTCGGGTATGCGAGCAACGCCGGAGCCTGCCGGGTGCTAATCTGCCGAGGGGAAGCCCAGCCCTGGACCTGCTGCCTCTTCCCACCATGTGCCAAGGGGCATCTCTCCTTCTCCTGCCGCAGAAGGGTGGTGCCAGCAGGCAGTATTCCTGTCAAGGGACCGATATTGCCAGAGAGAAACATTGCCTGCTCTGGCAGGGTTGGGAGAGAGGGTCTCCATCTAAAAGCTATTGCTCAGGCCTGTCTTGAGACAAGCAGATGAAGGGTGAAATGGAGAAAATTCATGGTTACTTTTTAGGTAATAAATCCAGGTTATAATAGCTCCTTTCATCCTAAAGGATCCCACAGTGCTTTATAAATAGATACGCAAACCATGCACAAGGATCACTTCCAAGCTCTGAGAGGGAGCCGTGTCCTGGGAGAGCGGAGCGGCTGCTCGGAGCAGAGCTGGAGCTCCCGGAGTGCTGCAGCTCGGTGCAAAGCAACCCAGGGAGCTGGGCTGGCAGCTCGGGGTGCAGCGGGGCAGCAGCTCCTTGCACACCCCCCACACCCCCCCCCCAGCAAGGAGCTCATTTCCCTTGCTGAGAGTCATGCTGCACTCCTTTTGCAAGGAAACAACTTGCAGTGCTACACTTCCAGTGCTGCCTCCCGTCCTTAGTCCAATCCTCCCATTTACAAATGACATTAATAGCTGTAATGGGGATTAACAATATCTTTTCAATTCAATTACCCCTATCCTAAAAGCATGCAGGATTATTTAAAGGTATTATCATTTTTTAAGTGGGATAGCTTTTCACCAGCCTCATGCTCATAGCAATCTACCCAGGGAGAAGAACAGGATGCATATGGCCTGAATGATCATTACCCTAATCTTCACGGCCTATTTTTCCTGGTAACTCTGCTATAATCAAATAACAATCTAGTTTATTATTTGCCAGGGAAAGCGTGTTAGCAGATCAGCCGCTTATGTCACATAGATGTAAAGGCTGAGCCTGTTGCTGGCTGTTGCTTTTTTCCCTAATGGAGATGGGAGTGGAAGGAGGGGAAAAATCCCTTCCTATTCACATCCGGATGAATTTTCTTGTGGCTGAGTAGAGAAGGTCACTGCTGCTGTGTTTGGTGTTTGTAGGGGGTTTTTGCGTGTGTGTGTGTGTGTGATTTTTTTTGTTGTTTTGGCTTTTTAATTTTTTTTTGTTTGTTTGGTTTGGTTTGGTTTTCTTTGTTTGTTTTTTAAATAGCAAAGGCTGAAGCAGCCAGATCTGGTGGGCTGTGCAGAAGGGGTTGCTCCTGTGGTGATTCTTCCTCTGCTGCACAAAGCTGCGTGATGTGTGGGGAGAGGAGGGGGTGGGTGGCAGAGGATCTGCCTGTGCTCCACACTCGCATCCCTCTGCCTCTGGAAGTTCATGGAGGAGATGGATGTCTTGGTGCACGTAGGCCAGATTTTAATCAGTTAATAGAGTACCTGGAAGTAGGTCCCCAAATCTGAGGACTAGCGGGCTCCCAGCCTGTCTGCAGGATTAAGAGAGAGGGTTTTGCTGTGAGTGTGTGCCAGGGGCTGGGCACTGCTCACCTCGGTGCTTCCACCTCCAGCCCCGGGGGGGGTTGCGAAGCCTTTGGCAGATCCTGCGCAATAAATCGCGGTGTTGGCCTCCTTCCCAGCAGGGCTGGGGAGCGGCCGTGGGAAGGGGCGAGCAGGGCAGCTCTGGTCCTGTGATGTGGGGAGAGACCCTGGGGGGGGAGCAACCAGCCGCGCAGCCCACCGGGCCGAGTCCCCTTCGCGGGTTGGGGGGGGGGGCAGACACGCACACAGGTCAGGGGCACATCTGGGGGTGTGAAGGGACCCCAAACTTGCCGGCTGACTCCCGGGAAGGCTCCGCCCCGCAACCCACGCAGATTATACAACGCTCCCCGCCGTGCGTGGCCGTGGGGCGGCAGTAGCCGAACCCCCCGCCACCACCACCATCGGGGCGGAGCGGGGCGGGCGAGCGGTGGCCCCACGGGGCTGCGTGGGGGCCGGGGGCCACCTCGTGGCGACTCGGCCACGGCGGCTCCGGGACACGTTTCGGGGGGATGAGTGTTTGCAATGTGCTGGGTGCCCTCGCTGCACCCCCCCGCCCCCCGGATTGCCAAGGGGCACCCCCAGCCCCGGACACCCCCCTCACGGGGACAGGGGCTTTTTGGGGCACGGTGGGTGTCCCCGGTGTCCCAGCTCGGGGGACAAGGGTTGGCCTTGGCTGCAGCCACTGACACCGGAGCTCTCGGGTGAACAATCAAGGAGGTTTCCATGGGAAATCTGGGACAGGGGGCTCCCAAACTGTGCCCCTCTCCCGAGCTCTGTTTATCTTGGAAATAGCTGAAGGGTCGGGTTACAAAGCAAATATGAATGAAACCCAAGGAAACAGAGTAGCGGAATGGGTCAATCATTTTCCTTTGACCAGATTCCTCTGTGAAGAAAAATTTGGGCTTAAAGGCTCATTTCCCCATATGTGAGGGGGGGCAAACACTGGGAAAACCCCACAGAGCAGGCTGGCAGCTTTAAAGCATCTGAGATGTGTTGTTACAGGGTACATCAGACCTAACTCTGACCCCCTGAAGCCCCTCGTTCCTTGGGGTGAAGGGTACAGGGTCACATTCCGGGAGATGCTGCAAGTCCCAGCATGAATCCTTTTTCCCAGTAGGAAATTTTCCTGCTGCAAACGCTTCCACCGCGGTGTGCCGTGCGGGAGCGGGCCGAGGCCTCCCGCCGCTCTGCGGGCTTTGCCGGGAAGCTGGGCACCCACAGCAAGAGGCACCCGCAGCTCGGCAAGAGGTTTATTTATAAAGCTGCCAGCGCCTGGTGTGGGTTTACTCACTCTTCCATCTGGTGACTATCGCTGCCACCTCCTGACAGATGCTCTGTCTCTTGCTGCTAATGACGTACTTTGATTAGTTGGAGCTGCTGCTTCACCCAGTTATTGATCAGTCACTGGTTAAAAAACAGCTTTTAAAATCACGAGCTGGCTTTTTTAACAGGTGGGGCGGTTTTATTGGCTTGACTAAAAAACCCGAGAGGGTGTTATTGATCACAGAAGGTTCTGGGATGGCAGACATGGAGCAGATGTCTCCTGCTCTGGTACAAGTGGCTCCTCCTGTGTGTAGGGGACAGCACAGGTTACGGCTTGTCCTTCTCCGTCCTGCTCTTCTCCGTCTTTCTCCTTTCAGGCTCCAAATTCTTCTTTCTTCTATTGGCAGCTGCTTGTTGAGGACTTGGTGTGGGCTTGGTGTTCCCACTCTTGAGTGCTGCAGTCATTTTATTTTGCTATTGCTTTCTTTTAGTTGTAAATAGAAGAGGGAAGTCCCACTTCCACAGCTTGCTCAGTCCTTGTGACACCAGTGAAACTGCTGACACTGGTGCAGATGGAGACAGTGGTTTCTGGCCAGGACCCTCAACCAGTGTGTTTCAGAGGGGCTCCCAGATCTCTTCACAGTTCACAGGGAGATGGGAGCCCGTGCGTGGCTTGGGGCTGGGGCTGTTTGTCACATCACAGCTCTGCAGACACGGCTGCTGGATCTGCAGGGCCCGGGAGCATGTCCTGCCCCTCCCTCCCAGTCCTTTGCCTGCGCCACGCAGGGTGGGCTTCTGTGCGTGGCTAGACACAGACCGGGTTGCCAAAAAGCAGCGGCTGGGCCTTGTAGGTCATTTAAGGTTCTGCCGTTTACTCCTGGGATGGCTTTGGGTACGTTTCTTCATCTCTTCCCCAGGGCACACTTGCTGCTTATTGTGGGACAGCTGGGTAAGAGAGGGATGAATGTCAAACCCCCATGTTCTTCACTTAGAAAACAGGGATTATCAGTGACAAGCAGGCTGTGCTTTCTATGTCCATAAACGAAAGGTCTTGATTTCCCATTGGGCTCCGGCTGAAGAAACGTTCATTGGATTTTCCTGGATGTCGGGCAGCTCAGCGGCATGTTGTACCTTGGCATAGATTGCTTCTATCATCCTTGTCAGGGACTTTATTGAATTCTGGATTGAACATGGAAACAGGGGTTAATCTGTTACCATCAGGGTGGCCTTTATTCTTTCCGAACTGGTTTCCCCTCCTCTTCGTGCAGGGGGTGGTGGTGACATCTCTCCTCTTCCTGGGATGGGGTGGCCGGGCCCAGCCGGTACCGACCCCTCCGAGCTGCCTTGTGTCCCGTCGGGGATGCTCTGGGGGCACTGAGAAGACACCAGACACCTCAGCTGGGTGTCACTGGGGAGGGGACAGACTGGGAATGCCATGACCTGTTGACATCCCACCATGGGGTCCACGACAGTGGGGAAACAGCAGGTTTGGAGGTGGGGGGGGGGGGGGGGGCAGGCTGAGATCTGCACCCTATTCGTGCCGGGGGGTCCCGCACATCCCCTTTCAAGCACTAAGCCCCCCCTCGCTGTCCCGGCCACTCCCTTCGGAAGATCGAGACCCCCCTTCCTAACCAGCCGGGGGGGGGCTCCCCTTCCCCGTCCCGGCGGGCGCAGGCCCGGTGCCCGCCCCGCCCCGTCCCTCCCCCGACGGAGCGGGGCCGGCCGCGGCGAGGCGCTGACATCAGAGCCGGGCCGCGCCGGGAGGAGGAGGAGGAGGAGGAGGAGGAGGAGGTGGCGGAGGAGGAGGAGGAGGAGCTGCCGCCGCACCGGAGCGATCGCTCTTCTCGGGGCCGGGGCGCACCGGCGGGGGGGGCGGCGGCGGCGGCGCTGCTTCACCCCCCCCCCCACCCCCCCCCGCCAAAACCTCCTGTCCCTCCTTCCTCCCAACCTCCTCCTCTTCCCCGCTCCCGCCAGTCCCGGAGCCGGCCCGGCGCGGCCCGCCCGCCTCCCGCCATGCTCTCCGGGGTGCCGCCGCCTCCCGCCGGCTTCCCCAGCCCGCCGCCCCCCCAGCCACCGCCCCCCCCGCCGCCCGCCGCCCCCCCCCACGGGCCGCCGCCGTTCCCGGGGAAGGGCGGCCTGCAGATCCGGAAGAATGCCATCACGGACGACTACAAGGTCACCACGCAAGTGCTGGGGCTGGGCATCAACGGGAAAGTTTTGGAGATCTTCAGTAAGAAAAGCGGCGAGAAGTTCGCTCTCAAGGTGCGAAGCGGGGGGGGGGGCGGGCGGGGGGGGTCCCCACGACGGGGCGGCCCGGGGACCGGCACCGGACGGGCGGGCGGCTCCGGGGCTGTCCCGCCCCGGCGCCGGGCTGCGGAAGGGGCAGGAGGAGCGGAGAGTGGCGGCGCTGCCTGACAGTGATGGAAGATGTCTGCTGGGGGGGGGGGTGGGGGGGGGAGACCGAGGGGGGGGCGTCCCCGAAAAACGGGCAGCGACAACCGGGAGCGGGGCGTGCGGCGCAGCCAGCCGGGACAATGAAACCGGCTGCTGCCTGTCTGTCCCGCCACGCTTTCATTTTAAAATTTTTATTTCCCCCCCCCCCCCACCGTTAAGAGCACCGAGATGTGGCTTTCCAGCTTTCTGATGTGAAACGAAGCGAAATGACATCTCGGTAAACCCGTCTGGGGACGGGGGGGGGGGGGGGGTGGTCTGGGAGCGGAGGGGAGCCCTCGGCCTGGCCACCATCACACACACACACCCCCCCCCCCGGGGTTGGCATCGCAAAACACGGGGTTCCCTGCACGGAGCCGCTCGTAGCACTTTGTGGAAATGGGGGCAAATGTGTCCCTGGCTGGTGATCGGCTTCCTCCCGCGGTGTAATACCGAGCGGGTGCCGTCCCCTGCTTCAGACGGGGAATATTTCAGCATTATTATATTCGTAACTTGCTTCCGTTTGAAAGGCGTGCAGATCAATAGTGCCTGCAAAGGTGTATATTTATTTTAGCACCCGCGAGGGGACGCGAGGGTTTCCTGGGTTTCAAATGAGGATTTGGAGCAAAGCGGGGAGCGTGTCTCCCTGCCGGAGGGACTTTGGGAAGTTTGAATGGATTCACGACATGCGGAGTGCGGCGCTGGGTGACGCGGGTGCAGGCGGTCTGCTCGGTGGGAGCGCCGTGTTCTCTAGCATCGATGCAATTTGTGCCCACGCACGAGCTGTTCAAACCCTCGGCGTTAGCCTGAGAACTGTGAAGGCTAAAAAAAACCCCACCTAGATCCATACCCCCCCCCCCCCCCCAACCTCTTTTGTTTTTAGAGCTGCCCATCTGTTGGTATCTGGAATCCCTAACCTGAATGAATGAATGAACAAGCGGCTTTGGAGGCACAAGTTGTGCTGCAGGGGTGGTGGGGTTGGCAAGGGATGGGGTTGAACCCCTCTTGTTTAGGAGGGGGGGATCAGTAGAGCAGTAAAAGTTTGACTTTTCCTTCAGAAACGCCGGCATTTCTCATGAGCAGCACCGCGTCGTACTCCAAGATGAAATGTATTGTCACCTCGTTTGGTTGGAAATTAGTGAAATCCTCTTCTGTTTTGACAGACGGGCTCCTCCTTGCTTCTGCAGTTGACTCGCATATTTAAAGCGCAGATCCCAGCACTTCCCTTTTGCAGCCCTGAAAGGGGAAGGATGGCAGAGGAGGCCGAACGCCGGCGGTTCCTCTCTGCCCCAGCACGGGGAGGATGGTTGGGTCCTGGGCTTGGTGCCGTTACCCTGCCCGTACCAGAGCACGGTGCAGCAGCTGGGGTCAGGATTTACTGCCACCAGTCCTGTCGGTCCCTTGGCTGCGTTGAAAAGCATCTCGGAGCACAGGACTTCGCGCTGTAACATGGGAGGGAGGTGCAGAGTGGCTGCGAGGGTTGGAGGGTGAGGTATATTTGGCGCTGAATCTCTGGTTTGGAACAGCATTGGTCGTCTTCCCTCTGTCCCCCTGCCCCGGCCTCTTTTCACGTCCCTGCCGGGGAGAGCAGAGTTCAGCTGGACACGTCTCTCGCTTTTCAAAGAGCAGCGCAGCTGCTACTGTAAGTGATTCCTTCCAGCACCTTCAAAACTGCTACGCTATGAGTTTGGGCTCCTGGACAAGCCGGCGCGTACCCGGCTTGCCTCGGTGAGTGTGAGCGACAGGCTTGGGTTATTTGATTATGATATTTGGACTGAACTGCCAAGCCCAGACTTGGCGGGGTGACTGCCCTAGGCGCAATGCCTGCTGACTTCATCCCCTCCTCTGGTACGCAGCCGGGAGAACGTCTCTGGTAGAGACCTGCAGAGAGGTATTTGGATCCGAATTACTCACGGGCTGCATCAGTGTGGAAAGATGACCTAAAGCAGGATCCGCAGAAGTGATTGCATCGAGTCGTCATGTTTCAGATGATGCTTAAAAGAATCCCCATGGCCCGTCTCCAGAAGCCACAGCTGAAATCTCCCTGCGCTGCCGGCTTTGGTTGTGCAGCAAACCTTTCCATTTGGAACATTGCTCTTTACATTTACTGTTCCAAAATCTTGGATAACAGTGCAATCCTCCACTGGAGCGAAACAATTGTGTCTCTCCCTGGTACTAACGGTGTCTCCTGTTCCGTTGTGCTTCCTCTTGGATTATGAGCAACTGTTACGTTGTTACACCTCTTTTTCCAAAACCGAGAGATACATTTAGGTTATAGTTTTGCTGAGAGTCACTTTGTTTTGGAGGACTTTACAGTGCTCCAGGAGAGTTTGAGCTTGGAGACAGTGTTGCAGCAGCAGTGAAAATGTTACAGCCAATTTTCTCTCCTTTCCCGTGCAACAGTCCACGGCAGAAACACATCATTAAATAAAATGGTGCTGTATGCGGGTTAATGGATGGTAGTTTTGTTTGCTATGTAGTACCTAGGTGAAAACAGGAGTTATTCCTTTACTTTTCTTACAGATCATTATTGTTTATTTTGCAGTTTCCCACCCTTGTTTTTATTTTATTTGTTGGTACCGACTAATACCAATACCTGAAGTGTGGCATCCCTGAATTATCTGGTGGGAAGCAGGCCACCCGTGGTCCCAGTCACCCATGACCTGACTATTTGATGCGTGGTGATTTACTGCAGGGTGGGAACATAAAGCCCATGGAAAAGTGATGAATGGAACTGAAATGCGAGGTTTAGGTGGTTTCTGACCCCTTTCTTCCTCGTACCTTGGTATGATTTGTTATTAGGCAAAATTAGGCTTGTAATTTCTGTAAAGCCTGCTGTATATAGGTCACCACTGACCTGACTCGGTGGTGTTCATTGTGGTCAGGCTGTTGGCGTTAGTGACGCAGGCTGCGACGGTGGGGCTGGGAGCGAAGTCTGTCTCGTCTGCTGCAAATTCCACTTTTAAGACTAATCTTTAGGCGAGATACTGGGTTGATGACTGCCTGCCTTAATTCAGCGAGGAAATTGCAGGTAAGCTGGACTGGAGAGTGGGGGCTAGTAATGGCAGGTGGCAAGTTTTTCTCTGACATATGCATTGCTTGATGGAGTTCTTTGTGGAGCAGGTTTCCTTTAAAACAAATTAACAAACCTCACTCCTAACCCCAACTTCAAAGCAGGAAATCCTCACCTGGATTGGTGAATTTTGGGAGAGCTTGGAAGGGCCACGGAGGCTGCTTGCAAGTTTGCCCCCTCTCTGGCAGCCCTTTCGGGAGCATCCTTGGTGCTTCAGGGCACGTTTGCGAAACAGTCTCAGTCTCGCTCTCGGCCTCATCAGATAATCTGTGAGCAATGGTTCCTCTGACGGAGAAGGAAGGAGGCCAGTGCTTCTGTGGTTTATTATTCTTGTAAGATGTCTGTCATGGAAATAGGGCAGGCATCTCGTAGCTGATAACCGAGCAGCTCTGTGGACGAGCATGTTCATGTAGCTGGTGGCCTTGTGCTCTCTCTGCTGTCATGGCTAGGGATTTTTACAGACATGTTTAGAGGAGCAAAGCCATGTTTCCCGTGGCTTCCTGCAGCTTCATTTGAGATAAAATGCTTTGTCCCCTGGAAAATCCAGCTGGAAAAATAGCCCCTAAGTGGTGGAGTAGATGAGGATCCTGGGCTCACACTCATGGGAAGCAACTCGCGATGTGTCTGCTGTACTTGTGCTCCTCCCTCAGTGGGGGGACATTTTTGTTGTTGTTGTTGTTAATTCTACAGCATATTTTATATAACCAGGAATGTCTTTGCTGTGGCCTTCTGTGCAAGCCATGGTTGAAAAGCTGTGGAAAGTGTAGTGACATCACTGGGATTTTTCCAAGGCAGTGGTTTATTATCTCATTGACCAAAGGAGTCTACTGATTTGGGGTCTGAGTTTGTTTAAACAATTTAGGATTTTGCATAATCTCTTCTAAATGCATTACATGTTCTGAGCAGTCAAACCTATGACTGAGATGGGCTGATAACGGCCTGAGAGCAGGGGCTTTGTTTTCATTTTGGCACATGCTCAGGAAGTGGCGGGGTTCTTCCTCTTAATAAAAATCTAATGCCATCAGCCATATCCTGCAAAAGAAGATCGGTGTTTCCCACATTCTCAGAGGTGACGAACTGAGGTGCAGTGATTTACTGAAGGTCTTGCAGCCAGTTAAGTGCGGTACTGGGCTGAGCTGCTTGCTCTGGGATGAATCCTTTATGGGCAGCCATCCTGGAGGATGAAAATACAGCCCCTGTGTGTGTGATTTAACAGCTCAACGCAGCCAGGTAAAGTGATTATTTTATCATTCACACTGAGCTCCTGCTGGCCTTCAGCGAGGTTTCTGCCATCTGCCAGTGCACGCATCGGGAAAGCCTGATGTATGGGACAGCGCTCGTCTGCTGGGCTGCGGGGGTGCTGGCCCTGAGCTTTGTCAGACACGTGTCCCTATTCCAAAGCATGTAAAACAGCATATAAATAATAACTTGAAGCTGTGCAGACTGAGAGCCAGGTCTCCTAATACGTTTGCTGGATGATGGGTAGGTGCCGGTGAGGAAAACCCCCAGAAAGTTCCTGCCTAGGAAGCCTGAAAGGGCGAGTTGGTGACTTCTCTGTTCCCAGAAACGTCAGGGATGTGCTCTGGGATCCAACGGGGTGGATCAGCTGCCGGCGGGCGGTGCGGGGCTTGCAGGGCAGTGCGGGTGCGTGGGAGGCATCCGGCAGAGTGGCTGGGCTGGAAGCGGCCGTTTGGCCGTCCCCACGGCACGGGGACCAGCGTGGCTCTGAGTTTGGCATCTGGCATCTCCCGAGCCTTCA